TCAACTATCTCCTGAGACTGATTTCATTATTTAGTGGTTAGCCTGGTATTCCTTTTTCTCACGATAATCTAAGTGCTCTACTCATAAGACTCTCTCTCTTATGAGAAAAAAGTAGTCTTAGATTATCTCCTCTCTAAAATCAATATTAACTAAAAATTCAATTGAGTATTCGTTGCGGCGCTGTCGGGCTTCCCCTCGATACATGTAACAATACTCAATTGTATTTCAAACGGCTCATCGAAGCGGCGACAACTGTGTTTGCTATTCGTTGATTGTAGAAATATCAAAACTTATAGAGCTTTCACGTGTCAAATTCTTACTTACTCTCGGAAAAGCGATTTTGAATATATCTTAGAGTCCGAACTATTTATTTAATAACTACAATAAGTTTCAAACGTTACAGGACATTATAATATACAACATATACGAAATATACAAAACTTAAATCCATATTATAAGAAATATACTTTTCCTTGAAAAGAGACAGGATCTTCAAAATTTATACTTTGCTGCTTGTACATTGTAGAATTTAGCGGAAATTGGCTTAACTTGTTTAAAGAAAATCAAAAGTTCGACTGAAAAGAAAACTACAGAAAAAACGCTTATAGAAAAAATGTTATTTAACTATTGGAAAATGAAGATCACACGTATCCTCCATCGTTCAAATTTTTAGAAAAAAATTTTTCATTCTTGTTTAAAAACTCGAAACCCAAACTTCTCTTTTGAATCGTTCACGAAATATTAATTAATAACGTGGTTGCAAATTTTAATTAAAAAATTATTTTAATTTTCCAAGCAACACATCGTTTTATAACTTAAAAATAATTATTCCAATGCTCGTAATTCTCTCATTCTAAAACTATTTTCTTTTTTTGAATTACTACTTAGAAAACTAATAAAATAATGAAAAAATTATCTTGTATAATTTTCGTACGTAAAATTTATCGCCTCTCGATATTTGCGTTGATGGCGTAGTTGGTCTATTTTCATATTTTAAATCATCAAAATATGGGAATCCTTTATGCACCAAGATAAAATTTATTAGGAAAATTTGTCAATTCAAATTATTAATTTCATTCGAAATAAAACTTTTAAACTTCAAATGTATAATTTAAACACGTGAGAAGATGTATTTAATTAAATTATGTTTCTTACACGGTACATTGAAATATGAGGGTTGTTCAATAAGTCTGTGACATCTCGGAAAAAGGTAGTTATCGTAACATATTTTACACTGTAAAAGAGTCTCATATAGTATAAATAGTCCAATCAACCGGGTCAGGAAGTCAAAAAGTTATGCAGGAGCTGGCCAATTACATTTCTAGGTGTATTTTGACCTCAGGAACTCGAATTTCAAATTGGCCAAGCAAAATTTTTCCAGGAAAACCATAAAAATTAAAAAAAACGGTAAAATTGTTTGTTTTTTGCGAATATTTCAAAAACGACGCGGAATTTCGAAAAAAGCTTCCAACGAAAGTTGTAGATATTGAAATTCTACATCGAAATATGTCATCGCACGTGCGTTTTTGTCCAATGGAAAGGAAATTAGAACGAGTTTCCACGACCGAGCGGCACTGGGCCTTGTGATTCATGCAGTAAAGTAGTTGGCCCCCGCAGTAGTACTGCGCAACTCCAACGTTATATTTCATTTTCTGTCTGTCTGTCTTTCTCTCTCTCTCTCTCTCTCTCTCTCTCTCTCTCTCTCTCTCTCTCTCTCTCTCTCTCTCTCTCTCTCTCTCTCTCTCTCTCTCTCTCTCTCTCTCTCTCTCTCTCTCTCTCATTTTCCTTTTCTCATCTTTCGGCGCCAATGTCAGATTTGAGGAGTCGTAATTAGCATTATCAGAGTTATTCTTACCTATTTCGATTGGCTTATAATCCTTAGGTGACGGATTTTTTTTCATTTGGCACAATTGTTGTACACATGAAAGTGAGATTTTTTCCAAATTTTGATGTCGAATCATTAATTATATTAAAAGTTGAAGAAAAATGATAAAAAGTTTTTAAAACGGCTATATTTTAAAAACTAATAAAGATATCGAAGTTGGATTTTTTTGAAAATACTTATAATGCCTTAAAATTTCGAAATAATAACAACAATAAACAATAAAAAATTTTTTTCGAAAGTTATTAACTTTTTGTTTAAAAAATTGCTAATATCTCAAAGTATTTTTTTTTTTTGAAAAATTCTTCTCCAGCGTGTTCCTGAGTATTTTTGCTATCAAAATCAATCATAAAATTCAAGGGCCCGACATATCGGAAGGCGTAGCACTAATCAAAAGAAGATGCCTCGGTGTACGTCGCAACGGCAGCGGGACGGCTTCGTGGTCTTATGCTAAGGCATCTTGTTTTGATTTGGGCTACACCTTTCGATATGTCGGATCCTTGAATTTTATGATTGATTTCGATAACAAAAATCCTCAGGAACACGCTGGAGCATGAATTAAAAAAAAATACTTTTTGAGCTATTAGCAATTGTTCAAACAAAAAGTTAATAACTTTCGAAAAAAAATTTTTGTTGTTTATTGTTGTAATTATTTCGAAATTGTAAGGCATTATAAATATTTTCAAAAAAATCCGACTTCGATATCTTTATTAGTTTTTAAAATATAGCCGTTTGAAAATTTTTTATCATTTTTCTTTAATTGTTAATAACTTTTGATATAATTAATGTATCGACATCAAAATTTGGGAAAAATCTCATTTTCATGTGTACAATAATTGTGCCAAATTAAAAAAAAATCTATTACCTAAGAGTTACAAGTCAATCGAAATAGCTAAGAATAACCCTAATAATGCTAACTACGACTCCTCAAATCTCACATTGGCGCCGAAAGATGAGAAAAAGAGAATGTGAGAGAGAGAGAGAGAGACAGACAGACAGACAGAGAATGAAATATAACGTTGGAGTTGCGCAGTGCTACTGAGGGGAGCCAACTGCTTTACTGCATGAATCACAAGGCCCAGTGCCGCTCGGTCGTAGAAACTCGCTCTAATTTCCTTTCCATTGGACAAAAACGCACGTGCGATGAGATATTTCGATGTAGAATTTCAATATCTACAACTTTCGTTGAAAATTTTTTTCAAAATTCCGCGTCGTTTTTGAATTATTCGCAAAAAACAAAATTTTACCGTTTTTTTTTCATTTTTCACGGTTTTCCCGAAAAAATTTTGCTTGGCCAATTCGAAATTCGAGTTCCTGAGGCCATAATACACCTAGAAATGTAATTGGCCAACTCCTGCATAACTTTTCGACTTCCTGACCCGGTTGATTGGACTAAAATGTGTATACAAATTTTGAAATTAGTACGTTCGTTTGGTTAAGTCATTTAAATTTAGTTTCTCATTATGTAAACAAAATCATGAAAATTTGGCTTGCGGATAAAAGATTTTCATTCAACGAAGAGGTAATTGGTGTAATAAATAAACATTTTAAGGAGTTTCCTAAAAATACTTTTCAGAAGGCATAAGAAAACTTCAGCACCACTATGTAACGCGCTTATCTATGAGCTCTTCTCTTATTTACACTGGATTACTGCAACCCACGAAACTCATGAATCTACATATATCAATTAGTACATTAAACGACGCCACCTCACATATTATATGTTTTGTAACGATATATAACATAATTCCATCTAACTATGTAATAGAGTTAGCCTAAAATATCCTCTATCACCAATTATTTAAGGGGAGGGCAAGGGAGGCGGTGTGTCGCTCCTAGCAAAGCAGGAAGGAGAAGGTGTACACTCAATGATTTCACACACTCAACTTCGTTCATTGACCTTTTATTACACTTGCACTTCTCTGAGTCCCGATGAGAATACAAAACCACTTATCACTAATAATACGCGAAACTTACACTAAATAAGATGACCGGCACGTTAGCGCCATGTCGTCTCATTAACCGGCTCAAACGACTAAGTGATGAAGATACGTTGCGCCGGCTCGTGAAAGCCTGGCGCCGCACACAAAACCGCAAGACAATGCCGAGGAAAATAGAGAAAGAGAAATGAGAGGAGAGAAAACTAAACTTGACCAAAAAGTAATGGCTGCTTGGCAGGTGGGCTGCAGGTGAGGCGGCTAACGCAAGACGTGGCCCAGTTTTCTTTGTCGTCACGGCTTCACACTCTTTGTCGTCACGGCTCTCACACTCTCTGTCTGGTTCGAGGCAAAGAAAAGATGGCAATCCTCCCAGTGCGGCCGATCTCCTTCGCGTGCGACGATCTAGTAGTGCGTGCAATTCGGCTTCTCACGCCTTCCCCACCACTGTCCTCCTAATCGGCGGCACGCGGCACTGCCCAACGCGACAAGTGCCGCGCGCCGAGCCTCACCGAACTACATATATTTTCTCTCTCTCTCTCTCTCTCTCCTGCTCTTGATATTCCCTTCCCATTTCTCTTGCTCGCTGCCTTCTCTTTCTCTAGCTACAATACTGAAAAAAATAAAGGCAGGCATCAGACACGTAAAATAACGTGCGTCCGATGCTGGCCATGCGCCTTCGCCTAGGAAGGAGAGGGAAACAAGCACACGGTGCAGGCCATGACCAGCCTACACCGTCACAACTATTATTGTCTTCCTTCTATCCTTCATCGAGTTCGATTTTTCAGATGACGAGGCCGATATCGATAATGTTATGCAGATTCAAAAAGTCCACACATACCTGGTTCTAACTCACTTAACATTTTGAAAACTTCTGTAAATAATGTAAGAGTGGACACGCAAGGCTCAACCAACGTCCAGCTGCGATCTTCCCAATTGTCAGATGTCAGGCCATGAGCCTTGTTTTCTTTGTCACTTGAAACCGTCTTTTTTACTCTATGACAGTCAGTTTCTTCTTCTTAGGTTATACTTTCTAGCCACTTTGTTCGCTGAGATAAATATCCGTACAAAATCGTAGCGCTCACGTACATTTAAAATTTAAAAGTTAATTTGAAATTATTAAGTAGTAAGATAATACAATATATCTAATAAAAATTATATTATATTATTTTAACTTTCAGGCCCATTAGTAAAACTACTTCTATCAGCCTTGAATGCTTCTGGCTGGTAAGTATAATTTTGTATATAACTTCTATTCAATTAAATTCTACGTAAAATGTAAGCGATTATTATACGAGTATATTATATAATAATTATCAATATTCTTGCGGTGACATTGTTTTTTTAAATGAGAAGAAAATAAACGTTTGAAACACGGCTCTTGAAAGAATGTACGAATTATAAAATTTGAAAATTGTTTACATAATGATGGATATATTTTTTAACTGAAAGACACCAAATTTTCGAAAAAGTATTCTTCCAGAATTAAGAGTCTAATAAAATTTATTATAATACTCCACCAATCGGGAAAAGTTTTTTACGTTCTTTATTCCTTTAAATTTTGCAACGGTAGTCGATTAATCGATCCGTTCGCGATTCTTTTACTCGCGTGGTAGTTTGAACGATTGAGAGAGAGAAAGAGAGAGAGAGAGAGAGGGCACGCGAGAGTTTGAAAAGAGGCAGTTAAGCTTCAGCTGTTTTTGAGAGAATACCGCCAATTTGTTTTGCACTGTGTTTCGCCATTTCAATTAAAGTTTTCTGGGACTATTTTTTACGTGCGTGAGTGCAACAACATTAAGCGGCAGCAAGCAGCAGCAAATTGCAACAGATTAGAGAGTGAGGCAGCGCAGCTGATCAATTAGTGGAGCATCGACAGTTAATTTCCTGCAACAACGATTACGGCTGATCACCGTAATTGTACCGCAGGGTAGGTGTACCTTCCTTTATCGTTGCGCGATAAAATACTTTCGAAAGTATTTTGTCAATCGCGATCTTGAATTTTTTGTATTCGCGCCGAGCGTTAGTTTTCGCGGTAATTTTCGAATCTTCTCTCTCTCTCTCTCTCTCTCTCTCTCTCTCTCTCTCACCGAATAATTATTTATTGTAAGCCCTATTCGCGTGCGTTAATCTTTCGGCCCATCAAAGACTGTAGTTTTTAAACTTAGTTAATTTTAGTCGCCGTTTACGTCATTTCGTTTCCTATTAGCTTAACCCATTAAAGCCCACGCTAAGACTGGTTGAGATAGCGACAAACAAACTGTGCTATCTTTTGCATAAGTGAAAAATAAAATATACGTATTTTTTTTTATGTTATTTTCAATTGTTTATAACAAATTATTTAAACAAATTACAAAAAAATTCATAATTATCAAAATCTAAATGCGGGAATCGATTCTGGGGATAAAATTGAGATGAAAACCTATATAACACTTTTTTGTCAGAGTTCAATTTGATATCTTTATGTAGAAATAAACTATTGACAAATAAGTGTTTTCATTCTCACACATGGTATCTGGAATCATATCAGTATTTTTTACTGATAAATTTTGAGATCTTATACTGTAATTGGATAAGTTTATTTCATTTCGTAAATCCTTCCGTGTTAGAGATCACGTTTGAGTGGCGGGCTAACGGTTGAAAACATTTATACATTGGATCTATTCTTTGAAATAATAATTTCGGAAAACTTTTAGTTTTTATTTTGTTCTAAATTGGTAACGTTACTGATAATGCCGAGACGGAGAATTAGCGATCTACCAAATTTAGTTGAAGATTCTGATAGTGATGAAGGTCAACATATTGATATAGCATTCATTCCTAATGAATATGAAAGTTCAGATGGAGATTCGGACGGTGATCCAAATGAAGATACATTATCAAATGAATTACCATCAGGTTCTTACGAACATGTTAAAAGTACATACACAAGTACGCAGAAATTGTTGGAACCGAATCATAAGTACAGTTGGAAAAATGATGCTTTGAATGATATTTCTCCGCATGTCGAGAGCAACTTCAATATTTCACCTATTTCATCATTGCAATCCAAAAATGCTTTTGAGTTGTTTGAGGTTTTCTTTTCGAAATCAATGAAAAACCATATCATTGAAGCCACTTCTGAAAATCATTTTGATTTATGTATGGATGATCTAGAAAAATTTATTACAATCATAATGATTACTATCTTCAATTCTAGAAAAAGTATTCGTGATTACTGGTCAAAAAAGCGAATACTTCAGTGTCCAGTAATTGCGGAACTTATGTCTAGAAATAATTTCGTTGCCATAAAAAAGAACATACGATTCTATAAACTTCAAGAAACTGATCAAAATGATAAAGTCTGGAAGGTTAGAACTCTGTATGATATGTTTCGTGAGAATTGTATGCAATTTGGTTTCTTTGACTATAATTTATCAATAGATGAGATAATGGTAAAATACTTTGGTAGGTTTGGTATCAAGCAATGTATAAGGAATAAACCCATTAGATTTGGAATAAAAGAATGGGCAGTCTGTTCTTCTGATGGGTATATATATGATCTTGATATTTACACTGGTAAATCAGGAATCGATGAACGAAATCCTTTAGTTGCCGTTGGTTTAGGGTCTAGAGTGGTGATAAAGTTACTTTCGAATTTATTAGAAAAAACACAGAGAGAAGAACTGAAAAAGTATCATATTTATTTTGACAACTTTTTCACAAACCCAGATCTTATGATTCATTTGAAAAAAAATGGTTTATCGGCGACAGGAACTGTTCGGCATAATCGTGTGAAAGTGAAAGTCGAAATGCCAAAAAAAGCTAAAAGAGGATACACTATTTCAATGCATGAAGTGAATTCAAAATTGAATTATATTACAGTTATGGACTCAAAGCCAGTATCGATTCTCTCTTCGAAATATGGAAATGAACCAAAAGTTGAAATGCAGAGATGGCAGGAATCATCGAAAAAATCTATTCTTTTTCCTCATTGTTTCTCTATGTATAATGAACACATGGGTGGCGTCGATCTACATGATCAACACTGTAATGCTTTGATGCCTACAATTCAAAGTAAGAAATGGACATGGTGCCTTGTATTACGGCTCATCCAAGCATCCTTAGCAAACGCTACAGTGATTTACAATAAGTTACATCCAGACGAAAGAAACAGAGTGAAACTTCATCCCAAGAACACGTGATGAAACATGGGAGTCTTAGGAAATGTGGAATTTCAACATGTCGGACAAGAACGGAATGGTATTGTGAGAAATGTTCTATGCCTGTTTGCAAAAGTCATAAAGAAGGACATGGCAATGAACAATAATTCAATCCCACCGATTATATTTACAATAATTCATGCCAATATTGATGGATAAATACAATAATTAGCTTCATTTTATACGATTTTTTGAAACACTCTCAGGAGGCCGAATGTTTCTTCCTGCATTACAATAACTAATTGGCCTCTGACAGAAAAGTGTTATATAGGTTTTCGTCTAAACTTTACCCCCAGAATCGATTTCCGCATTCAGATTTTGAAAATTATAAATTTTTTTATAATTTGTTTAAATAGTTTGTTATAAACAATTGCAAATGACATAAGAAAAAATATATATATTTTATTTTTCACTTATGCAAAGGATAGCACAGTTTATTTTTTGCTATTCCAGATAGATTTTGCTTGGGACTTGACATGGTCACTTTTTCTCCCCAACATGCAATTGTTTATTCCTACGTTACACTAACAAATTGAATTCTGACAAAAAAGTGTTATATAGGTTTTCGTCTTGATTTCACCTCCAGAATCGATTCCCGCATTTAGATTTTGATAATTATGAATTTTTTTGTAATTTGTTTAAATAATTTGTTATAAACAATTGAAAATAACATAAAAAAAAATACGTATATTTTATTTTTCACTTATGCAAAAGATAGCACAGTTTGTTTGTCGCTATCTCAACCAGTCTTAGCGTGGGCTTTAATGGGTTAATCGATCTATAAAGGCTTAGGTTTTAACCCGATTTCATCTAGGGGATTAGTCGGATAAGGCATAAAGTCAGTCACACTTAAGATAGATAGAGTGTCACAAGTCAAGTGATTTAAGGTGAGTTCAACTCGATTGGAAAGAAGACACTGAAACAAAATCATCAGACGTAAAGGCGAATACACGTATAACTATACGTGTTTAACGGAGCGGCGGTTAGCTCTGCATCGTGGGAGTTTGAGCTTAAATAAATTCTCATTTTTGTTATATAACCACCCCGTTACAATTTATAGAAGTTTCAAAAATATTTGGAGTAATTTTCACGATTAGAAACTTTGTGTCCTTTAATACAATTTCTAACGGTTGGTTAAATAAATCGTTTAGTTATTATCTAACGCCATATTATATCTAACGCCTTGTTGTAAGGTTGATCGCCGTCTTGATCAGTTAGTTGATAAATAGACGCTATGCGAATATATTTCGCGTGACTGAAAACGTGCGCAAATTCAAGTAAATGATAAATAGAACTTAATATAGTGTTGGGCGCATAATAAGAATACGCCTAACTATTGACCTTTGTTTCAGTCGCCAATGATTGCCGAGTGGCAGCTAAGTGGCCGAAGAATTTCAACGGCGAGAAAAGAAAGAGAAGAGAGAAAGAGAGAGAGTGTGCACGGTATAGGAAGACATGCGAGCTGCGCATAAGAGCTGCGTCGCCGCATGCTGCCGAAGAGTAGGCAGCGGGGATGAAGGTAGCAAGGGTTAGAGGTCGTAAATGAGGCAGAGAGCATTCGGTGTACTATGTTATAGAGAGAGAGAGAGAGAGAGAGAGAGAGAGAGAGAGCTGCGTTTTCTTGACTTTCTGAAACAAAAGAAAGATTGCGTTGTGGTTTTGACTTCATATACGAATATCCTTGCGGGAGTTCCTTTACACATGGAGTTTTGAGTGTGTACGAGTCTTCATAGAAACAGAAGTCTGTATCGCCTTCTTCCTTTGTGTCTTAGCCGGCATTTAAGCATTCCGCCGAAAATTTTTCTTCTGAGCCCAGCAGATGAATTCAGGACAACCGACACTGCCTTTAAATCGCAAAGGGTCTCTAGCAATTTAAAAACCAAACGTTAAATTATCTGTCTTTCTCTCTCTTTCGCATTCTTTCCATTCTCGTCATGGCAAGTATCGATTCATAGTATATTTAAGAATCGGTAAAATACAGGTAACAAGGAGTTCACCCACCGGCTTCTTGTATCTTGCCTTTATTAT